CCTATAACAACCGCATCCACTCCTCCACTCGCTGCACCCCTTTCGAGCTCGACACTGGCCAACACCCCAGGATGGGGACGGAACCCACACGCACATCCAAGGTAGAAGCCGCTGATGCCTTCTCATCAAGGATGATGAAGATGCAAGAAGAGGCGAAAGCGGCGCTAGAGCACGTGGCGGATGAGATGGCCTGCTACTATGACCAGAACCGCGAGGCGGCCCCTACGTACCAAGAAGGCGACCGGGTCTGGCTCAGCACCCAGAACTACACAACTGACCGCCCAACCAAGAAGCTAGACCACAAATGGACTGGCCCCTTCACGATTGTTAAAGTCGTCTCCCCCGCCGCCGTCAAACTCCGGCTCACCGCCCGACAAAGAGGGATCCACCCAGTCGTATCCATGACGAACATCAGACCGCACTGCCCTGATGAAATCGCGGAACACCCCACCAAACCCCACCCCGGCCCAGACCTCGTAGATGGAGAAGAGTATGAGGTCGAGAAAATCCTGGACTCTAAGTGGCTATGCCAAAAACTCCGGTACCTGGTAAAGTATACAGGCTGGCCACACTCAGAAAACCAGTGGCTCACGCGCGACCACCTGACCCACACCTCCGACCTAGTTGAGGAGTTCCACCGAGCGCACCCCCATGCCCTGGGGAGAGAGAAGGAGAACCACCCAGCCATTCAAGGCAAAGCGGCTTAAGGGGGGGGTGATGTCAGGGCACACCCGCCTGACCCCGCACCGCACCCTGCACTGTACCGCACTACCCCATTATCACTCCCCATCTCCCCTCCCCCATTTTCCCCCTTCTCTCTATCTCTATTTCTATTTCTATTCTACAGTCGATTTCCCTTTCTCCATGTACTACTACATACCTGACCCCGCCCCCCTGATCGCCACACGCGCCGCACACACTCCTGCCTACTGAGCGGCCACCTCCGGGATCTCCCATGGAGACACCCAGGGAGGTGCGGCTGTGTGTGGAGGTGACGTGGCTTCCTCCACGTGACCCTGGCTGCATGTATATAATAGTGCCTGGGGTGGGAACAGAAGAAGCAGCCTTCTTCTCAACTTCCCACTTCAGGTAAGTACCGTAGCTTTTCCCTTTTAATGATAATCATCAACTTCCCACTTCAGACTAAGTGGTCGGGGACGCTCATCCCATGACGGGATCGCCACTACGCACAGCCACTACTCGTCCCACTGAGTCCTGCACGCAGGGACCTCGCCGCTTTCGGAGCTGTCCCTGACATGGGCATGCTTCAGTGTCGGTTGTTTGTGGGGGCTTGAGAGTCGACATCAACTGTGTAGTTCTTACATAAGTCAAGGGTAGACGGTGTTAAAGAAATATTAGTTGAGCCTAAGATATGGATCTTTGTGAACACCCCATAACTAGTTCCAAACTAATCCTCAACTTCAAAAACTATTGAGGCATAACTGCACCCACACGTGATGGAGTTGCGTTCAAGTTGTGCCTTAGTTTTGCTCCAGATTTGCCTTCGTGAATCCCCCTATTGAATGGATGAAATGAAGTCTGCATATATAAAAATCCGTGACGGCTGACAAGTCATGCTGGCAGCCTTGACACTTTTTGCAATCTCTGCTGCTGCCATTTGAAGGCCCATTAATTCCGCCCCAAAAGAATCCACATTACTTATTGACCCCTTCACCTCAAATATTGGTTTTCCACTGGAGTATCCAACCACTCCATACCCTGACTTTGCAACCCCATTGTTCAAAGAGTGTGAACCATCACAGTACACAAAGCATCCTTCTCATTTTGAGCAATGAATTTTTTGTGATTGCTTGCCCAGTCACGCTTGTGCGATTTCCCCGGAGTATGAGGGACCTGAATGCAGGTAAAATTTACGGAATAACCACTTGCTCTAGTGACAATAGCTCAGTCTCAAGCAATATGCGCGAGAACTGAGGAAAAAGGAAACTAATTCAAAAGATTGAATGTAGTTTGTGGCCTTCGCGGATAAGTCCGAAGTGACCAAAATAAGTAAGAAGGAAAAAGGTGTTGTGACCAAGGAGTCACGCTACCACGGGAATGTGGCTGTCCGGGCGAGTTCCTCGGATGTGGGAATGTGGCTGTACGAAAACTCGTCCGGCCTCCCATAGCACACGGTCCCTCCAACAAAAATTAGGCCCCTTCATAAGAGCTAAGCGTAGCAGTTTTGGCATGGGGGGGTGTCCGGATAAATCAGAGTGTGCAAATGAATTTTCAGGGGGGGGATTGGATGGGTATAGAATGCCGAGTAGGACGTTTGCCTATCGTCAAATGGTCTGCCAGAGTCGCACTATGGACGATGTGTAACAGATCGTGCAGCCGTCGGGGTAAATAGCAGCCGAGTCGCACGAATCACTTGTCGATGGAGGAAACTCAATTTAAAGTGGACGCGAGCGCGATACATACGGAAAGCGTTTACTTGGTGTCGCCCTCGCTCTCAGATCAGAAAGACCTCGCATTCTGCTTTGACAACAGTCGATTGTACGTATCATCGCTGCATGGTAACGTAAAACGCTCATTCTACCGCTCTCAATGATGCTTTGGTTCTTTCTTTAATGATCTCCTTGATCCCCGTCGCGTCATTTAGCGTTGAGCGTGGCATCGCACATATATTTTCAGTGTAAATTTCACCACCACCACTACTACTACTACTACCTACTGGCGGTCTCTCTCTCTCTCATCTATATGTCAGGACCCGATCATTGTCAGAAATTGTGTGACGCGGAGCGGGGGCACGAAATCAACATACCCATGAGAAACGAGGCCATACACATAACAAAATTGAGACGCATTCTAGACAATGCCCAAGAGAGACCCCAAACAGCACTCACAAAGATAAAGAACCGACCCGAGTATCATGGACGTCCCCAAACAGATCCCCTCCCAGAAAACAAAACACACAAAAAGAGGACTCACGAAAGCGCTGAGAGATACACTGAACACAGGGGCTAGATATAACCGAGCGATCGATGCACCCCACCTAAACAGACGACTAGGACTGGACTCTCTCCATAGAACTACATCGGGAAAAACAAGGCCAAAGCCTTGGACAAAATTCCTCAGGCTGAGCGCCTAAGAAAAACCCATGATTTCAACCAAGCGGGAGACCCAGTCCAAGTAAGCCTATCCAAGGGCCTGGCGCACAAGCCGGGGAACAAAACTATGCAATTGCAACTCATGTGAACAGTACTGCAACGGAGGCTGCAAACCCCAGAAAATGCTATAAAAAGCGGAAAAAATCCGGTCAGACTTCAAAACAATGTTTAACCCATACCACAAAGATCCAGAGGAAAACGGACGCAGTGAGGCGGACAAAAGGCGGCACACGTTAAATAGCCAGACACAGAAGCGAAGGGTCCATACCATTGGAGGAACAGCCCTAAGGACACCAAACACCGAGAGAACAGCAAGAACCCAAAGCAATCCAGCACGTCGAGGCGAGCCGTAGGTAGCGGATGGGAATATGCTTGAAGTGTTTTTTTGGAGCGACAGGGGTGAATAGCATGTCCGACAATGCAAAGGGGTAGTTAGAAAGGATGCACACAGAGACCCGCGCACACGTGTGGGAGTTGAAAGTTTCCGAAACGAACTTCAGTGCAGGGTGACCCAAAAAAACACCTTCGATAATGACAAGCTTGTATGCATCCGAGTAGCCAGAGCCAGGGGCACACCTGCCGTCGGGGACCTCATGTTGGAGGAATAGTTCCACCAGGATGATGAACCACTCCTGCTTGGAGACATCTCTTCTTCCGCGTACAAACTGAAGCTTATAATGACGAGATTCTCGGTTATATCCGGCCTTCGGCTTCTCGAAGCTCTCGCTTCCATCGTTACTCTGCCAGTGTGCCAGTGTGCCAGTTTATCCCTTGGAACTCCGTCATCTCGTGTCTCAAGAAGCGCAGTGAGGCTCGGGTACAACCCATTCTCTCTGAAAACTCATGCACACTCACAAGCTTCCTTCGAGTCCACTCGCGCGTTCAGTCGCTTCGAAATTGACCAGTTCGAATAAATGCTCAATGCTCAACAATGCGTTCGAAGAATCGCGATCATAACAACCAGATAGATCACCGGAATGCCCTTCGGCTTGTTTCGAACGTCGGAGCTTTCCCTCACCATCGATTTCTCGTCCACATGACTCATTCGGGACGGGCTTTAAAGTTTTGACTGGAAATCTCAGGGATTCCTGTGCTCAAACTTTGGGACCAGGTCGTTCATCGTCAGCCGACATTCCGCCATCCTCTGCCCCCTTGTTCTTCTGCGATCTCGTTTGTCCCTGCCCCATTTCCAGTTGCTCCGAGTGTCCGTGATCGCAGAACTCATAGAGGGCGTTCCATTTGACTTTATAAAAGCACGTGTAGTACGGCAGCCAGGAGAGGACAGGGTCGAGGGGTTCCAACCTCACCACCTTATTCCGAAGGCCACTCTAAGCGCCCTAAGTATCCGTTGGACTTCCAACGAATCCGACCCCTGGTACCATTTCCATGTTCGCAATGGCCGATCCGGTAAGCCAATTTAGATTCACATTTCACAATCACTGGGAGCCATAACATCCGGATGTGTAGCGCCCGAATGAACCTACGAAGAGGAAGCGACAAACTCTCCACGGAAACGTTCAGAACGTTTTCTTTGGTATCTATCTGCCCGGGCATCAGATCCTCTCCAGCATTATACCCCAGCCCACCGCCCTACCTTCAATCGCCGAACATCGATCCTTCAATCTGACAGATCAAGGAGGTAAGTTTTTTCACTGCCTCCCTGATAATCGGTTCTCCTCCGGTGAAGTTCTAGAAAATCACGATACGGATCCCTCCCTGTCTCAAAAGTTTAAAGGAATAGGACATGTGGTACATATTACCGGAAGCGCTGTACAAAGAAGTGCGGGAATGTGAGGATGATTGTTGCAAGTTGATTTATAAGTTAAATAGCCAACTTGCGCCCGTGATTTTCTGTCAGAAATAAATCGACATCCCATTATCATGCACAGACGTTCACCTCTCCCTCAGTTCGACTACCGCGAGCTGAGGTGAGATTCTTATTCTTGATCATGTTTGATTGTTGATTGAACTATGTAATGAATAGTGCTGACGAGTCAGTAGTTCAAAGGAGATGGCTTCTAAAAACCAGAAGGGATCTAGTGTCTTGGGGATGTAGTGGAGCTAATGATGACAAGAATGGGAATGGGAAAAAGCAAAACACAATGTGACCCTCATCTATGTGTCCGGATCCAGTCGTTGTCAGAAATTGTATAACGAGGGTTGAGCATAATTATTACGAAGAGACCGGCCTGCATTTTCCTGTGGCCATGCGATATTTCCCTCCTTAGTTCCTTCGGGAAAATGCATTCCTGGTCAGAAATGCGAGTCCTCTGCATCCATGGACGATCACCTCCAATAACTGGGAACCAGCGGAACTTCTTCATGGTGTCAATCAGGGCCTCCTCGAGTAATTCTGCTTGCCCGTTGGATAGCCGGTGGTCCTTCATGATGAGCTCCCAGGCCTCAACACACGCCACATGCTTCCACCTGCCATCCTTCTCGATTAGTGACTCCCCATGAACGATGTCTCTCCTGCCCCGCATCATCGAGCGCATGTTCTCGATCCATTCACTGGCCGTTGGATTTTGGCGTACGATAACTCGCTGGAAGATAGTCCAAACCTCAGCGGTTCGGAACATCTGGAGCGCATCCTCTGGGCTATGGTGGCAATCCAGGGCGCTTTTTCGTAAATGAGATTCTTTCGATCTAGGCACGGGGATCCCAAAAAGCAGATTAATGGGAATAGACCGAAAGATACTAAGGACCTTTTTGCAGATCTCCCGTGGGATGACGGAGACATGGCCCAACTCAGGCCGTCCAGGTTGGGTGAGCGCTATCAGATTGGCGTCGAGTAGCCTCTCTCCTCTATCCTCGGTCTCGCGAGATGATAGGTTGATACGCTTGGCTGGTCGTTGGTGGCGTACAAGCGGGGTAGGGTGCTGGAGTCGCCGTTTGCGGATGTTGCTTAATGGAGCGAGTTTGACCTGTAGGTCATCCTTGGACATCGAGAACATTGTGGGAAAAACCTTCAAGTCCAGCTGGCGCCATATGGTCTCCTTGAACATGGGTGTCAGAGTGTCCATGAATGGGCGGATGAAGAAGGCGCCGTATGGTACCACAGCAATGCGCTGTTGGATGTCCACCTCAGCGCCCACAGTGCTGGCATGTGGAGCCAGGATTGGCTGAAGGGATGGAGGGTCTTCCACAATGGGCTGAGCTGGATACCAGATTGTGTCCAGCCGGGGGCTCTCCAGACCGTAAAACACGTCGTGAACAAGCGCATAATCGCCAATGCTCTTAGAAATCCATGGTATCATCGGTGAACTGTTCAGCGTATCCATTATGAACTTGAGAGTGGCAAATAGTCCTAGTTGATGGTCCCCTTCCACCGGCAGGCCCGAACGACGCATTCGAGTCCAGATATGGTTACAGGATATCAACCTCTGTTGTCTCCAGCCCCTGACAGAATCCAAGTCAGGGCGATGTGTAAGGGTATGGAAAAGGAGAAGGCATACCAGTAATCTCGAGGCTGAATGCAAGTAATGCACTGCGCCATGGTGGCGGGATTCAGCATTCGAAGCGCCTGATGGGCTTCAGAGATAGGTACTCGGGCTTCAATGCGAGCAGAATTGCAATAGCCTTCATCATGGCATGCAGAATTGTATATGTTGTACATTTCCGAGTACCATGAGCTGGGATCCTTTTGAGTTAGCGGTGCCAGAAGTGCACCAGTCGGGACTAGGATAGTCTTTTCGGCCGAGCCAGGCCTCGCAAATAGCGACTTCTCATTCGTGTATGCCTGGATGTAGAGAGCGCTAGTTGCATCTCCCTGTGGCTAGGGAATGAAATCAGAATTTAATCAGAATATCAGAAACTGTGCCCTTGCCTTGTAACGGAAACCAGATATTCCAGTCAACGCCGATATACAATCTCGAATGTACCGGCGCTTCGTTGGATTCATGTGGCTGTCCAATGCAGCCATCAATTCCGGGTCATCTGTATCTAGACCCAACTCTCCCACTATATGTTCCACAAGGAGTCTATGTTTATCTGTCCGCCAAGCAGTCATCATGTCACCAGAATCAGCCCTGACCTCGATGGCAACATCAATCCAAGTTTCCGTGTCATCATACGCATTTTGGTAGAGTCCTAGCATGTCCAACTGGGAGCAGAAGTTCTGGAGAGCAATGGAGGAGTGATGTTCAATCCATTCCTCCAAAGTGCCTTGGCCATCTTGGTCATCATCATCGCGAAGTCCCTGGTGCACATCCCTAGGCATATGGCGACTGAGGCTCTTGTGGCCTCGGACATCGACAAGGAAAAAAGCATCCTCCCCATAGCTGAGATTGGAGGCAGCTAACATCACAGAGACTCCGAAGTCCGTCACGCAGTGACCAGGCAATTGGATTGTTGATTGAAATATCGCACGACGACCACTAATGGAACGAAACCTTTCCCCATCCAGGGTAGGTGGCCAGAGCCCGGCATCGATGTGAGAGTTGGCCTTCACTGCCGCAGGCTTGATAACGGATGCATACACTTCATCAACTTGAGCATTTGTCAGAGAGACAACTGAGGGCTTAATCCAGAGCCGAGGGAAGAAGAGGTAGATGGTGACGCGAGTACCAATCTTCGCAATAGGAATGTTGGGGATGGTGTATAGAGGCACTGACTTTGTGGTATGGTTCTGTGAAGTATTGGTTGTCACCTTCCTAACCATATTTACAAATTCTCGGACTGCTTAAAACTCACCCGGCGATATCCCGTTGCGATTCGGGTCTTGATAAAGATGTCGGAGGCTAACGACATGCTTACTGGCGGAACTCGAAAAATCTCAATATGAGACTGGACATATTCAAGATGTTTACTACGGGCGATCAACGAGTCAAAATCGCGCACAAGAGAAACCTGTTCATCGGGGTTATAGGGGGGGATCACAATAGAGGCCTGTGTGTTGGTATCTGGGTGAACCCCAGTGAGCGCCCAATGCGCCAAGCGCATCATTCCATCATTGACACCTGTAAATAAATCAGGGGGGGAATCGGAGTCCCTCTCCTGCATCAATGTTGCACCTTCAGCAACAAAATCAGACAAGATATACGGAGTGACTGAATTGGGGGGAGGGTCTGCGGGATCATCATATAAGACTCGGATGGTGGTATCGTCCAGGTCAGATGGCTCATGATCAGAAGTCTCATGACCTCTGTCGGTGTCGGAAGGTAGATACTCCGATTCACTATTGTCGGACATGGTGGCGCCTTCCTTGAATTTGAACGTGGCTTGTGGGCACTGCACAGTTTTCGAAACTCCCCTGGTCACATGATAGCTCTGTCCTGTCGTCGGCCGTCCCTCACATCATAGCAAATGTATGCTAGAGTGTAACTGTTCTTTGGGGAAGTATGGTCTTTTATTTACAAACCCGCTTATCTAGCAATAAGGCACCTGAAATCCTCCTCACTACGCGAGTCCGCGGCTTTGTCTCCACCGCTAGCGTAACACATCATTTGGTCAGCGAGACGTTCCTCCTCCTAACGACCCCTTCGGAGGCCCTCATCACATCGTTGATCCTGGACGTGTGAAAGCGTGCAAAAGGAATTCCTGTCCTACTAAACTAAGTCAACTTAACACCAATGCACACGCACCACAGAACCCGCCTTCCACTCATGCCGTACAGCAGTCGACGCAGTCAACCTCATCAGCCAACCCACGGTCTAGTACGAGATGTCATAGTCATACTCGCCCAAATAAGGAATCTTGACCGACTCGAATTTTGTAAATATTCACGGAAGCTGAATTCAGCGCTCGAAGACGCTGGATACAGAGACACAAATTGTAGCTTACCTCGTGTTCGGGAAACGGTAATAGTACCGCCAGGGAACCGTTAGACGGTATTGATATTGTCTTGAGTAAGTGGCTCTTATGTGAGGATCGGTTAGCTGGCGGTGCCATCTGCAAGATCCTCCCTCCGCTCTTGTAGACGAATCCTAGTCCGCAGTCAGGCTTGGTACGGTCGTCAAATGACGAGCTGGGAGGATGGATATCATCATCGTTGAGTCTGGATATCTTGGCTCCCTTCCCTGTTTCCGGAGGTTGAGATGCTGATCCGTGTTCGCCAATATTTGCCGACGAAAGGAAAAGATTCCATTCCTTCGTCATGGAAGACTCGGGTACCAGACCTGCCGTGGTTTGATCCGATGGCTTTGGTTATGGGCCTTGTTGACTCCGGTATCTTCGGACGCCAAGCCCAGTTTTGGATTTGGGAATAAGAGTCATCGACCCCGAGATTCGAATAAAACACTCGACGAAATGTTGGGAGAACGATTCATTGAGATGCGGGAAAGAAATATCATCTGTACGAAACGATTGCATACTCACATCTGCTGGAATACATTATTTGAATGCCACGGCCTCTAAGAAGACTATTGAGGAAGGTCTCTATGGCGTTATCCATCCCTTCCAAATAAAAACGGTGACTTGTGTTCTCTGATAAAGGGTAGCCGGACAAAAATGGGAGCCGCTCAGCGAGGGGATTCACGGTAATGTCTTCAGGCCATTTGACCACGATCCATATGGTTTAAGCGCAGAGCGAAGCGACGTTCGGGAGAGTCCATGAACCATATCCCGAACCGCATTGTTTCCCTCCTTCCTGGGATCTAGCATGTACAGAACCAGCGGGGGGGCTGAGAGATGAAACGTACTAGGAGTTGCAAGTGAAGACCGCCCAATAATGACCTTTAGCGCGGCATTCCAAGGGCAAGTAATTGCTGTACCAGCATGGCCCACGTGGACGGACAATCAGCATTGTGCGAAGTAAGACACCATGAGCAGCGTGACAGATAACGGGCATGTGTATAGCGAACGGGGACCTAGGAAATAAAAGACAACGTAGGTGCTTGGCCCATGGCCAAGGCACATCTTGCGGCCCCCAGTGATCATGGACTTATCGTACGAGTCAAAATCGGCTTGCCGGATGCACCGTCCGAACATGCCAATTGTATGAGGATCACAGAGCCCATGTTGTAGAAAATGAATCTCAGAAGGCACCTAAAATAGATCGCACGCTGAATGCGGAGACAATTCAGTCCTTATTGGCCGTTTGGCTGATAGCCCTTGCTCACCACCAGCGTGTTTACCTCAAAATACCTTCAGATCAGCTTCAGCGCCGAGATCCGAGGACGAACCCCGAGTCCATCGTAGTCTCGACAGCACGCAAAAAGAGGGACCTGATTAAGTAAGTAATCTGCTGCCCAGTCATTCGCTGATAATAGAACGACTTAAACTCCATTGGAAAACGTGCCCCCGTGAAGAACAATTCATTCGTGGCAACGAAGGTGACATCGAGGTTTGGAAACCAAAAGACCAAGCCCATATTCAAGGCATCCGATAAAAGGTGAGTTCAGCATCACCATTGTTCTATTTTCGGGCTCCCAAAAAATCAACAACCAGCCGAGTCGTTGCCGTCTATATGTATGGAGTTGGTCGATGTAGCCTCTCACCATCCCTTTATGTATTATTTATTTCTGGATAATCACATCACTATTTGGCCATTTCACCCAGGTCGGACATGAAATGATTTGACATTCACTTATGTCACATTTCAATCGGGGATGCTGCAATGGGAATATCTAGGAAATTGTATTGAGGCTGTTGTACCGCGGATAGGCGGTGAAGTTGAGCACGCAAAACTGGCCTCATCAGTTCCGGGTAACAAATGCGACATCGACCAAAGGGCCAAGCCCACATTCATAGAATCCGATAAAAGTGGGCCCTATATGAATGCAGTTGGTTGATGTGGGAGGTGGCTCTCACCATTCATTTATATTTCACATTGCATGCCATCTGTCATCCAGGTCGGGGATGCAGATCACTTGACACCCACTTATGTAAAATTTCAACCTGGTACAGGGATGCCGTAATAGGAATATTTAAGTAGGGAATTGCATTGAGGCTGTTGTACCACGGATAAGGCAGCCGGTAAATTGACTGAATGTGCAATTCATTTACACGGGGTTGGAAGCAAATTGAATTGACAATTCAATGGCTCATCATTCCAATCCTGGCAAGAGTACCGACCTGTTGGAATGTGAAGGGTTTGGAACTCTTGCGTCCGCATCACTCGCACTCGTAACAATTAAATCAACAGTAGCAATAGAAATCTTCGCTTCGGTTACCTCCTCTATTGCCATCGTTCGCGCCCATTGACTCTCACGGAACAGCAATTGACCTCATCCCGCTGGACATTTTTCCACCCCATCATAGGGACAGGCGGACTGTCCTGTGCTGATAGAGAAAGGTACCAGAACGCCTCGTTGTATGACGTGAGCGGTTCCCTTGTTTTCCGAAATTCATTTGCCAGTTCTTCTCCTGTAACACGGCTCCCACCGCACGAGAGCTCATCGAACGCTGATCACAGTTATAGAACACGTCCCAGCAGCTCCGCATGATGATTCGTTTCTATTATTGTGCCCGCTGCCCTAAGAGAGAGGAGGGAGTTAGGACCTGGTTTTTGTGAGTGTGGTCTAGCTCGTCCCTTCTTATCTTTGCGTGACCAGGGCTCACATCATAGGAACGGTGTCTGCGCGATTCTACTGAACAGTAAGCCATTTTATCTTACTCAGACCACACTGACCATGTGGCAGTTACTCCTCTGCTAGCCCCCTCATTGTGAGACGCAATTAATATCGCCATTTTCACTCTCACTAGCCCATCGGTTCTTCCTTCCATCGCCTCCATGCTGCGGGGGCTTAGGTAATCGAACTGCTATCAGACGGTGCTCGAGAATTCTCTTCGATTTCTGTGTCGCGCAGGGAAGATTTCGAAAAACGACCTTTCCAGATTCCACACCGATGGACAATGATTGTTCCACGTATCCTCGAACTCATCACTCCCATCAATGGTCCTCTCAACATGGATTCAACACTTGGGCACCCGTCCCTCCACAGCTCAATCTTCTGCGGCTGCCGAAATCTCATTCATTGCACAGTTGCCCACTCGGCCATAGCCCAACCATCGAATATTCCTGCCGCTCACCCTCACTCGGCACCCAACGCTTCGGATGAGTGGGATGAAGAATCCACTCACGGTCAAAATAAACTCGACAAGACCCGCCCTTCGCCCAGGTGTCCTCATTCGCTGGTGGCCAAACAAGTCCACTCAATGACAAGCCTTGAACCCATCTATACGGCAACTATAGTAAGACATGGGCAAGTAACAGCATCTGAGCGAGTAATACCCAGACCAAGGACCCCCCGATGAGCTTTCGAGGCAAAAGATCGAGCCCGTGCGTGATTTCAAGATGCATGCTAACGCGACGTCAAAGTGATATCAGGACCCTCTTGTCCCCACCTTCCTATTTTCGAAGGTCAATGTGCCCCATCATTTTCATTTGTCATCGTTGCCACCGGCAGTCGGTGTGTCGGACAGATGGTCACTGACAGCGGATCAGTAGAGGCTTATGGCACTATCTTTTCGGTCCTATTTCAGTGAACCCATCTCATAGTGCTGGCTACGGCGGCTTACTGTAATCCAGGTCACTCATTTGGGCCGCTTTCACTCCGTGCGATGCGGAATGTGCACGCCAGGAACGGCAACAGGCCATTGTGGATCATTCCGTGCACGGCTAGGGGAAGGTATAAGATATTAAGAAAAGACGACCCAATTTGTGCACTTGCATGCACAAGAGTCCTTGAATCCAAAATGATGTCATAGCATCCTGACCGCTAAATGGCTGTATATACGAAATCATCGAACAGGAAGGGAAAAAATGATCATCCACATGAAGCAATCATCTTCACTTTATTTGAACGAGTATTGTCGCTACATGAATGAGTATATTAAGCCCGAACCTTGTGCATGTCTAAACCGGTACGATGTGAAAGTGAGGCCTTCCAGTAGACAAAGCTACGCAAAGGCGAGAGACGAGAAGGGCGGAGAATGTTGGCTTGACGCAACTAGACACAGGAGCCATGTAGATTGCTGCAGTTGGGTCAGAGTGATGTTCAAGTATTGTTAAAAATGCCGTTTTAGACGACTCCCACATAGCGTGAGGTTGGCCTTGGGTTCCAAGTTTGTATGTGGGCTTAGTGTGCGGAAGGGACAGCAAAATTCACAGAGTGCGGCTTCGGAGATTCAGCATCACAATCGATTCATGTTCCGTAGTGGTGTCTAGCTCGTGACAGATAGACAGATCGACACAGCGTACATTTAGCCAACCCTGCTAGGCAGTAATAGGTCGAGCCCGGCAAAAAAAGCAAGAACATATGAATCACATGACGTGATGACGCCCTCGCTGTGGCCCGGAGTGGTCCGGATGACATTGACCCCGGCCACGACAACCGTATGTCGCAAGTTTTGATCACGAACCAGGCATTCCTGCAGAGCAAATTCGCCAGTGCCACCTCATAAGTATTAAATCAGGAGTCTGTAGTGATGTGAGACACGTGGTTGAAAATATATGTACCTCTATCGCCTGAAGAAACCACACAAGGCCTGGGTAAAGACCAATGGCCTGGATCTTTGCCAATCACATACCTCGTCAAAAGCATCACTTGCGGCTGTACTTAAGATCCGGGGTTGATCGCTCGATGGAATATGGCCAGAGTCTAAAGTAGGTTGGAAATGATGGGAATCAAATCTTGCCGATACACTGAGCCTCGTTCTGAAGTCTAAATCGGGACCTGCGGTCCCCCAAGACCACCGGGGTGTTGTTGTTAGCCTTACCCTGGAACCTTCGTGAGTCCATTGCTATGCAACTATTGTACGGACGTTTGAAATGCGGTTAGTTGTCAGGGCGGGAAAAAATGAGAACGACTCGCAGAATTTTCGCGGTACGGAAAGAAGGTCTCCGTCGAAGACACTCTTCATCGGCAAGAGGGATGACATGCAAGTATATGGGATGAAGGGGCTGTGGAGGAGCTGTGAGCTTCGTGTCGCTCCGAACGTATAGTGAACCTATCTTTGGCCTTGCATCTGGATTGAGCTCTGGACGTCCAGCGTTTTGTATATATCAGCTACATTAGTTAGGCCACGTCTTTCGCATATCTCCCATAGGCATAGAGTCTACCGTTCCTCCACGGCGGCATCTTTAGCCAGCGGATAAAAGCGCCTGGGTGAAGGGCGGGTTCTGCCGCGAGTCGATAGTTTTGCGATGGTAGAGTGGGCAACTGTCAGGGTTAGGGTAATGACTTGGGAGTTATGCGTTCGAGGATACATGAAAAAATCACTGTCCATACGGCGTAGAATCTATCAAGGTCGTGTTGCGAAATCCGCCCTGTGCGAAGCAGGAAATATGAGATTAGTAAATAAGGGAATCCTCGAGCATATTCCGGGGGAGGTTCGATTGCCTGAGCCCCCCGATCAAGGCAGCGCACGACAGCATGGAGGTGATGGAATGGATAAGCGATGGGCTGGTGGCAGTGATATCGAAGAGCAGGGAAAATGGTAGCGTCGTATTGAAGGGGCTAGCAGAGGAGTAACTGCCGCATTGTCAGTGTGGTCTGCGTTGGATAAAATGGTTTACCGTTCAGTGGAAGCGCGCAGACACCGTTTCTACAATGTGTGTGAGCTCTGATTGTCACGTAAAGATAAGAAGGGGCGAGTTCGACCACACTCACAAAAAACCTCTCCGGTCCTAACACACTCATCTCTCTTCGGGGGGCGGCACAACAGTAGAGGGGGCTCATCATGCGGAGCTGCTAGAACGTGGTTTATAACCGTGATGTGCGCTCGATGAGCTCTCGTGCGGTGGGAGCCGTGTGAGAAGGGGAGAACGACCGGGAAGTGACCCCCAGAAAATGAGGGAGCCGCTCACGCAATGCGACGGGACGTTCTGGTAGCTTGGTCGATCGGTGCTGGACAATCCGCCTGTCTCTATGATGGGGCCGAGAAATGTCTAGCGGGGTGGGCCCAGTTGCTGCGCCGGGACAGTGCTAGTGCGTCGCTCAATGGACGTGAACCATGACAATAAAAGACGTAATCAAAGGTTTGGCTACTGTTTTTTTAAATGTTGCGAGTGATGCAGACGGGCACAGGTAAATGTCTTGAAAGGTCGACTCACTGGGAGGTTGAAACTCCTTGGGGGCATCATGAACCGGGTCGACCAACCCAAGCCTTAGGTATGCATTCCAACAGATTGATGTTCTTCGTGACAGGATTGGAATGATCAGCCATTTAAATGTCAATTCAATTTGTTTCCAACCCTGTGTCTCAATTAAATTGCAAATTCAATCAATTCGCCGCCTATCCGCGGTACAACAGCCTCAATACAATGTCCTAGATATTCCCATTACAGCATCCCCGATTGAAATGTGACATGAGTGAATGTCAAACGGTTTTCATGTCCGACCTGGGCGAATAAATGGCCAAATAGTGGTGTGATTATCCAAGAAATAAACAATAAAGGAATGGTGAGAGGTTACATCGACCAACTGAATACATATAGACGCGACAACGACTCGGCTGGCTGTTGATTTTTTGGGAGCCCGAGAATAGGTGATGCTAAACTCACTTTTTATCGGATGCTTTGAATATGGGTTTGGCCGTTTGGTTTCCAGATCTCGATGTCGCCTTCGTTGCCATGAACGAATTGTTCCTCACGGGGCCACGTTTTCCGATGGAGTTATAGTCATTCTATTATCAGCGATTGACTGGACAGCAGATTACTTACTTAACCAGGTTCCTCTTTTTGCGTGCTGTCGAGATTACGATGGGCTCAGGGTTCGTCTTCGGATCTCGGCGCTGAAGCTGATCTGAATGTATTTTGAGGTAAACACGCTGGTGGTGAGCAAGGGCTATCAGCCAAACGGCCAATAAGGACTGAATCGTCTCCGCATTTTGAGTGTGGGATTTATTTTAGATGCCTTCTGAATTTTTCCATAACATGGGCTGGATTGCCTTGTTTGGACGGTCCATCCGGTGAGCCGATTTGGCTCGCACGATGAGTTCATAATCACCGGGAGCCGCATTGAGTATCCAGATGTGCGTTGGTCATGGGGACAAGCACTCGTGTGGTCTTTCTGTTCCACCCCTGGGCTCATGTTCGCTAAGTTATCTGCCACGCTGTTACTGCTGTCTGACAATATTATCAGCATTATCCCGAGCACGCGTCGTAATGGACAATACGCCTTCGGAGGGTTTTGCTTGTCCTGTAGGGAGGTTTCTCTAGATTCTTATTTCTCTGTAGGCCGTCCGCCTTGTCGATAAAATTCCCAATGCCCAAGTCATTCCTCTGAGAACTATGAGATTAATATGTCAGAGGTCGGCTGAAACTCACAAGATGCACTCCTATATGGGAATAGTTGTCATTCTCGCCCTCTTTACCCTTTCGTACCTGAAGTAAGGTAGTGACGACATGGGTCAATGGTTTTCAGGAATTGGATGACTTCACACTCCCAATGGTCGATCAACCGGATTGTTCCCGGTGTATTTGATATGCAAATTTCTTCACTCGTGTCATATCCCATCACACTACATCCTCGTTCTATATACTCTTGTAACTTATTCCAATGCCGGCTGTATCGACACTCGCAATAATCCCAGCTCTATACAACTTGGGCTATGCTGCAGACCCGTTGAGTTTTGACGCCGAAGATGAGCTTACCCGTCTGCCATTTGTTGATGAAGGATTTATCAACGGTCTTGGCCTTTCTCGTGGCCTCTTCCCTCGTCTTCCAGACGGTACACTTGACATAACTACTCGGCCCTCTTGGTGGTTGGCTCTTCGATGGTCCCGGGATGACGAAGAAAAAGTGTGCAGGGTTTTCAACGAGTGTACGCACCTCCGAAATGCATCTTCAGGAGGCCGTGGGGGCCACAAAGCTCTGGTAGAAACTGGAAAACACATCAAGAGATCGAACGCATTCAAACTTATTTCTTCATGGACTATTGCATTTTGGGCTGCAGCCAGACTGAATGAGAAAGTTGAGATTTCTCTGAAAGACAGCGGTCACCACCCATTCACGATGATGGACCTGAACAACACGACGCAGTTTCCTGCAGTTCCCAGCGTCCCCACAGAGAAGATTGCCGTAGAGTGCTTTGGCCAAGGTTTCCTCACTCAATGCAGCAGCGATGGAAAACGATTTTATCCTGCGGCAGCTGAACCTGCAATATTGGCACTGGTTCAGCTCACGTTTCACCGGATTCGTGCTTTCTGCAACCGTGGTCTCCGCAGTGCGGAAGGGGACGTCCTGAAAATGGAAGAACTTTTCAAATGTGGGTCTGATCAATATCGATTATCTTCGTTTTTAATGTATAGTAACAGTGGTGGATCCGAACTCGCCTGAGTCAAAGCCACAAGATTTCACCATATCTAATCTAAACAGAGCTTGGTCCGCCATTATCAAGGTAACAGGCCTTCCAATGTTAGCGATGGAAGACGCCGAACGGGAGAAACTGAAAACGAGGGTCTCTGAGCTGGAAGAGGAGATGAAAGAGACGTTCGTCAGATTACATTTGGTGGACAAGGATGCGGCGGGTCTTTGCCGGAAAGGGACGGCAAATGTTAAAGGTAAGTTCATTGATAATGCTAGACTTCCCGTTGAGCTGGCCCTGAGCGCACGGGGTAGGGCTTACGAAAGAATTCCTCCAAACCGTGCGGTCCCTTTCTAGCGATCCGCAGGTGGAGAACTTCAAGCTGTTGCTCAATGAGTGGTTTGAGCAAAGTCGTGAAGTCGGTGAAGTGCCGTCGTTTTCTGAGGCAGTTGGAAATGCTCAGGAAGGAGTTGATGCTGTGGACCAGCTCTTTGGTGGCGGAAAAGACGTGGGTACGTCATCATATGCTCAACTAACTGAGCATCAGGTCAAGGCGGAATTGGACATGCTCAATCCATGGCCTTATTTCAATGAGCGTTATGACCCTCGAGGTCTTCTCACCCCCGCCAGCGGGCCGGAGTGGAGAGAAGCAGAGAATGCGCCACTGGCTTTTCACCAACATCAACTTGATGGGGTGCTTGCGATGCACCATATGCTATTTTGCAAGGAAACCGAGCGCGTGCGCGAGAAGCAGGGAATTTTAGTGGCCGATGGAATGGGCTTGGGGAAAACAGCGTGAGTATCTGAAAGATTATGTGGATTGCATGTGGAATGAACCCCAATTCTACTAGTCAAATAATCGCATTTATAGTTCACCTTGAGATGCAACGTCAGCGGCTTGCTAATGGCCAACGCCCAGCAGCTGGTACGCTCTTCGGTGGGCCAGCTGCTTCGCTTTCGTCAGTGATTTTGCAACCCTTACCTCCCTCATTGTAGAAACCCTCCCACATCCGGCCTCCGCAGGCCACAAGTGGCCTAGCGTGCAGCAGCCTCAATCCAAGGCGGCTCTATCAGAAGGCCCGGTGATGATAGTGGCCAGCAACACATTGATCGGCTCGTGGAAATTCGCCTGCGAGCAGTTCCTTAAGGGAGATGCCTACGACATCTTTCCATACGTGTCCAATATGGCAAACAGTAGTACACTCCTGGAGTCGTACAGGTCATCCTATCAACCCGAGTCACGGCGGATCATCTTGGCATCGACCTCGGTAAGCGCTGATTAAGCTGGCACGGTCCTTTGTTTATATCATTGTAATTTCATTTGGTCTAGGCACTGCGGAAGCAACACAAAGAACTAATGGGCCATCGTCCTAGCAAGCAGTGGGAGAGTCCCTCCATCATAGCTCGCAGGCGTGGCAAAACTGACGACACTATCTTCTCGGTCGTGCCATCACTTCTGGTCATCGATGAAATCCAGACATACCGCACAAATCCAAGCTACATGTTTTTCTTCCGTGACTTGGCCCAGTTCACGATCGGTTTGACCGGCACTCCCCTCATCACTGACCCAAAGGTGCGTCCATTTAATCACTGTGCTGTTAGCGTGTCTGTGATGCACACGTTTCACCTGCATGCGACTTTCGCATCAGGTAGGTTGTTTAGTATCATTGGTGTGCATTTTTGACGCACTCTTCCTCAGGACATCATAAATATTGGTTGGGCCATCGGGACCCCTCCCCTTCAAGATCCAGAACTGTATAAAGTGTTCCAAGAAGACCATCGAATGGCACGTAATGCCATGAAGGCTGCCCGTAATGGGACGAAAGGCAAGGCAAACGTTCGGACATGGGGTGCATTAATTCGTCAAGGTCGAGCATCATCAGCGGCTTCGTTTGAACCATTCGCCAAGGCACGGGATAAATTCAACTCCGTGTTGGAAACACTCCGTAATGCATTCTCAGGCCACATCCTTCGTCGAACACCGTCTTCCCTAGGCCGTGACGGAAATCCTCTAGTGAATCTCCCGCCCGTCACTTTTTACCCGGTCTGGGTCACCTTGGAGCCTGATCACCTCGATCGCTTAACGGCAGATATTGATGACGCGATATTGAAAGCAGTTGAGGTTGACAGGTTTGGCGTATGTGATTTCATCTCGTACATTCCAGCAATACCAATACACCATTCTATAGCATTTCCATCTCCGTGCACGCAAAGGTTCAGACCACCCTGATGCCATCGAGGCCAGCACTCAGGCTCCGGTCTTTGATGACGCAGCACAGTATCATGCGAACGGTGGTGCTAAGTGGAAAACCATGTTGCACATCATTGCTCATGGTCTTGCTTCTGACACTGCCCCACCAATCACCCTCGACACTCATGGTCACCTGGTACCAACACTCGATACCACATTGGCTCAATGGAAAGCGGACCCTGATTGTCCACGCAAGCGACGAATCGCTGTGTATATGGACTTCACCCAAAACGTCCCCTCCTTCGCCTCCGCCATTCGCCATGTCCTTGGATTTGAGCCGTTCACGCTGACTGGAAACACAGACCACGCACGAAGACGGGAGATGGTCTCCCAATGGCAATGTGATGAGAACCGCCGTGTGCTAATCTTCACCTCAGTAGCCGCTATGGGCATTAACTTGTCCGCAGCAGATACCTTGATCATTGCGGTAAGCAAGCAAGATCATAACACAGCGCAGAGCACCGCTTTGACTAAGACTAATTGAATGTTCCGTAGAATGTTCAATGGTCGGCCCAGGATAGGCACCAAATCTACACTCGGGTGCATCGTCAACCACAACGGAAAGAAGTTCGAGTGTATGATATATTGACCGAGAAGACAGCGGACATCCTGTTGATTCACGCTGGTGATGTCAAGGCCCGTCAGTTGGAGAGTTTTTTGGGGTCAGAGACTGGGGTTGGTAGGTGATTTTCCGTCTGGGAAATGATTATTATCGATAACAACGAATCCAGCATATCAAGGGCTTATTCAGGGCATCACCCCACTGAACGAAAAAGAACAAGCTGCCGACCCAGCAGCGGAGACAAAAGAGAGCAATACCCAGACTCGTCGGAAGCGGTCTACTCCCTTGGATGATGACGATGAAGAAATCTCATCTAGGGCGATCAAGATTGCCAAGACCGTGTCGGCAGGGGAAAAATCCAGAGGCAGATTTGGGGGTTGGGGCGAGTCTTCTGGTATCGGAAGCGGTAAACGAGCAAAAGGGAAAGGGAAGAATAGAGAGACCTACTGCAGAGACACTAGCGCGGAAGAGGGGGATTACAGGGATGGTGGCAGCCCCGAGAATGCTTCTAAAGATGGCCCAAGTGGCTCTTTGACCCGTAGTGAGCGCCTCAAAAAAATTCGGCCACCAATGGAAACTACAGCGACGATGCGCATTAACGCGATCCACTTACCCGTGCCAGCACCCTCCACCGGTATGGTGACATTCCTTCTCCAATGGCAATGTTTTCACAGTTGCATTGATCCCGTGTTCCGTAGTGCCAAACACCTCCTCTTCCAGACGCAAGTCTCACATGCCATCGGTAGCACCAAGCACTGGTGCCTCCGGGCACATGCCAAGAGCAGCACGGAGCTCCGGCCCTTCCAGGCAGAAGTATCATATGCAGACTGCAGCAACAAACTCAGGTACTTCTGGACGACAGCCTTACATGCCATCAGTGGCCCCAAGCTAGCGCATTGCCACGTTGTTGGGCGACACAGCTTTTCTCTTCCTGTGGCTAGGGTTGCGACGTCAGTGGGTTGAAATTTACTAGTTTTATTGTTCGTAGGCGCTACTGGAACAGGATGCCAGATGAGGGTGGAATGGTGAACGACCCCAAATAGCTGATACGATCTGGAACAAATGAAATAGACGAGAAAATAGACGGTTAGGGAAGTGTTCGGATTGTCAGAGCAATATGGAAAATGGAAAGGACTCCGGTGACTGTAACTTGGGCTCACATTGCTCGGATCATACAATTAAGGGCATTACAAGGACAGCCGACGCGATGGCCCTTTTCGATGAGTCCTGTGAGTTGTGCCGCATCAATATCGGCAAAAGTGGAGGGGGGAGGTCACCTGCACAACAGGTCATATTTACGTAAATCCTGCCACTTGTGCTTATGTCTCTCCTCAATGTGTATAAGCTCTCTTACATTCCTCATTTACCACTACAACTATGACAAAGACTAAATGCTCCGACATTGACATTCCGATTTCTCCTTTGAAGAAACCGAAGACCTTGGTGGCATCTGCAGCAACTGTTATCAGCCGGCAGGTGTCTGAGCGCGATATCAAGTCGATAGTTAGATATCGTGCTCTGGCCAAGTCGTGGACCCTTATGTACCTATTTGGGTGGCCAGCCAGAACAAAAGAGTACAAAGTGGCACACAACATGAAGTTAAGAGAAGTCCTTTCTGCTGCCTAAGCGGGTGGTTACAATATATGTACCCCGGTGCGCCACGTTGGCAATAAGGTGCCTAGTGGCCCATCCTCGTCATGCGCCACATTGGGTTGCCATGTCAACACTTCCCCTCAATCCGATGTCCGTGCATTAGTCTAGTTCATGTACTCCATCCCTAGCATCAGGCAACACCGGTCATGCTTTACCTTAGCTAGTGACTTCGTTAGAACGTCGGCAGCCATGTCATTCATCCCAATGAGTTTGAGATTAATGGCACCATCTGCGACACACTCCCTAATAAAGTGGTACTGGACATCAATGTTCTTGGTTGCGTTATGGTTGACACATCAGCAAAAGGTCCTCAGGGTTTCACTTCAAATGGTTTGAAAACAATTGAGTTCACTTCTGAACTGAATTGAAACGTGACACCTTTACTAAAATGCTTTGGGAAATTGGTCAATTCGGCCAGTTTCATTGTATTAGAAGCAACAGGATCATCAGAAGTGTCCAAAGTTGACCACGACAATTTCCTGATGCAGGGTTTTGAGCAAGAAGATCCGCAGCTCGATTGTCGATGTGCAGGGTCGTGGGCTTTATTGTTCCTTTGTGAAGTTCCTCAAGCAGTCTTCTGAGCCATACTGCTTCCTTGGCTACTTTGGGGGTGGCAACATATTCTGCATGTGTCGAGGACAGTGCAACTGTCATTTGCTGTTTTGACATCCAGGACACCACTCCGCTTGAGAGAAGGAATGTATATCCTGAGATCGACTTGTGATTCAGCATGTTGTTGGCCCAGTCTGCATCAGTGTATCCAACCAGATCTCCTCCCCCAGCCATGTACACAATCCCTCAATTCAGGGTCCCTCCAATATACCTCATGATGTGCTTGATCCTGGTTATGTGTTCTTCTCCAAAGGTAGATGCGAACAAGGCTAATGCCCTGTCAGGGCAGTAGCCCCGAACCCTGAGCCATATGTAATTACAAGATACATATAGTCACATGGGTAAGTGGTAACTTCCGTTAACTGCTTACACACACCATAAAATACACATCTTTGTATCACTTATGGCTCTGTGTGCTGAGCCACCCCACTGAGACCTCACTTTTTTAAGTGTATGAGGTGTGTTCTACAACACAACCCACCAAATCTATCAAATCTTAGCAACTTGACTCGGTAGTGCCAATGGCACCTAAACATGCCTGCAAGGGCAAGGTCATGTCTGCAGCGACAATAAAGAAAAACGAGTGGTTTATAAAGAAACCACAATCTCCCATCATGGGAGATTCAAATCCACAGCCATCGTCAGATGACAATGAGGATCAACACAATCCAGAGAGGAAAACCACCTCAGGGCTGGTCCCTGAAGGTTTGAAAAACTTACATGGAGTAAGTGCAGGGCCCAATACCCCTAGAGCTCCACGTCACATCGATCTCACCCAAGCTGGGGAAGATCTTTCGCCTCGGGGGGGTGGTCGGCTTGTGCAATAAACACATAAGCGCTGAACAATCAGCCCGAAAAGCTGATTGGATAGAGTTGCAGGAAACTCCAGGGCCCCACTATCCCCTGGAGTCCTCCCCATGTCCCCAAGTCAAGCCCCAAAGGCAGACAAAGGGAAACAGAAGAACCTCCATGTCAGCTATCTGAAAAACTACTGGACATGTTCCAGGTTCTGTCTGAATGGAGGACAGAAAACAAAGACCAACTTCTTCTCAGGCTAAAGGCCCGAGAAGGCACAAAGAAATGCTCTGAGAGCAGGATCTCCCAGAGTGCGGAAGCTCCAAAAGAACTTCTGCTGTTTACACTACCCCATGCCATGCCAGACAAGGCAAGGTAGCCAACCTCAGAGGAGGTCTCCAAGATCATGAAGAGGAGGTGAACTGAAATGAGGAAGTTGCTGAGGAAGCCTTACAGAAAAGTAAGGAAAAACCAGTGAACAGACCCCTCTATGAAAGGGAAGCACCCTCCGCAACAGCCTCGCCTAAACAAAGCGAGTGTGGAGTGTTCACTCCAAGAACTCCTTCTGGAACCCCCAGAAGCGGCAATGTCAATGAGGAGAGTCACTACTCGCCCAGCCAAATTTCCTCCTGGAAAACCAGGAATTGCACATAATAAACGCGATAAACTCAATCCAAAAAAAGATTGAGGAAATGAGCCATAATAGCATGGCTCGTCTAGAGATAACTCTAGAAAGAATGGCCAATGCAATTGACGTGTTGACTGACAAAATCAGCAAGCAGATGGACTTGCTGAAGGAAATAGGCTTCTCACAAAATAGTGAGGAAACAAAAAAATATCCCTGGGCCATGGGCCAGGACAAAACCAGAACTTGTGAAAAATTCACCAAAAAAACAACCAGTGAAAGTACACTGGAGTATCATCAGCAACTTGACAGAGACGCTAAGGGGATCCTTCTCCCAAGGATAGGAGAAGACGATGCCAAAAGAAGGCACCGTTCAGAAATCAGGAGGAGAATTGGCACGTACCAAAGGTTTGGCCAAACATCCACCTTCGACAAACCTCTCGAACAGAGAGGTAACACAACCACACTCTCTCAAAACAATGAGAGAATCCAGATACAACTTCAGGCAGGATTGCCTGAAACTAAAGAAATGCTGTGAGGAAAATTCCCTCCAGTGAAAACCCCCCCAAAGGAGAGATCTCCATTGGATAGCAACCCTGCGAAGGCAGGGGAGCAAGAGGAGTACCTGGAGAAATGGTATGAAAAGACCATAAGAATGGCCAAAGTGAGAATACTCACTCCCTACCCAGAGGGAGTGAAGCCTGAAGCTCTAAAGAATGGGCTGGCTTTCCCTGACAAGAAATGGTCAGGGGAGAATGACATGGAGTCGTTCTGGCAGTGGTTCACAGAACTACTGGGATTCCTCGCCTCACGAGGATGCAAAGGTCCCCAATTCGATGAAGTCCATCTGGACTGCTTGATTCACAGATTAGGGGGACCCACATTCAATGTTGGAATAAGACTCTGAGACGAAACTCTCCTCAGAGGAGACAAGGGCATGTTCCTTGAAGTTCTCAACATACTGATGAGAACCTTCATCAAAGCCTCTGCCGTGTTGAATGCAACAAAGAAGTACCGCAACGTTAAATATGAAGCAGAAAAAGGCCTAAAACAGTTCTACTTAGAACTGTCTAAAGCAGCGTCCCAGATGGTGATGCCGCCAGACTAGGCATCCTTCAATGCCAGGTTTCTAAACAACATTCCCCTTGAATGGAAGAGGGAAATGATTGCTCATGACAGAATCAGAGTGGATGTTAGAATTGGGCAGATTCGGACGACTCCGGAATGGAATCGGAGACTTAGCGTGGAAGGACCTTGGCCTCAGCGACTCAGGCGGAGCGCTGTGCCATTGCTGGTTGTCCTAGGTTTCAGATCTAGCAGAGGGAAAGTCTCTTGGGGGAATTCATGTCGATTTCGGACTGAGGTTACAAGTTACTATGTACATTGTATATAAGGAGGGGTCCAGAATCAAAAGGAGCGAGGGTAGGATGAAAGGAGACAAAGGGAGATGAAAAGAGGAACAACACTGAGGGTCAAGGGTTTGACTCAATGGTGTTTCTCAAAGGAGGAATGAAGGGCCAAGGCCCAAGGAGGAAGGAAGGAGGTTGGGAGTGGGGAATGGCTAGCTGACTGAATAGGAAGGAAGCAGCAGCCCAAATAAGAATGAGGGAGAATAGCGGAATTGAATAGGACAATGCAATAGTTGCAAGGTCCGAGGTAAGTCCGGAAAGTCCGAACTCGGAAGTTAAACTCCAGAATATTGGCAAACATAATTAAATGGAATGAGCTAACCAATACAATGGGTATAAGTGGAGGTGGGGTCAAAGTCCGAGGTCGGAGCTAAGACCGGAGGTTCCGGAGATGGAGACGTGAATGGGATTCCGGAGCGGAGGTCCGGAGTTGGGAGCATAGGTTTTGCGTACTCGTCTGGAAGGTGTCGAGGTTGGGGTCGGACCCAGAATGTTCCAGAGTCGGACCGAAGGTGGTGTCCGAGCCGGAGGTGGGATAACCTCTTGGGAGTCGGCAAGGAGAAGGTGACAGAAGGGAAGTAGGACTCCGGAAGTCGGGTTTGGAGTTCCAGGAGCCCGGAGTGGAGGTCGGGATTGTATGGATATGACAGTGGACTTCTCCTCAAATGAGGAGATGTTAAAAGCAATATCTCATGTAGATGAGATAATTGACAGGCTGAAGATGTCTTCCACCTACAAATCAGGATATTATACCTGAACAACCACCACGGCAACCATGGGCTGCAGTAGAGCTCTCCCATCAGGAAAGAAGGCTGAAGAGCTGAAATCCAGATGGAAAGAGGATATATCCTCGAAGAATTCGAGGAAGACTGACCAAAAGTCAGTCCCAATTTGTGGCAAATGCAGCAAAATAGGGCAAACGAAAGATTGCCCAAAATATAATGCAATGAGCGATAAAGAGCCAAGGTGCATAGCTGCCATGGAAATCACG